TATATAAATATACTACTATTTAATTGTGTTTGTAGATTTATTTCAAACCATAGCAAACGAACATATATTCTCTCACGAAAGTCGCTTCCATCCCTTCGTCCCACCACCTCTATACCTTTTACCAGCACACACACACACACAAGCGTGACTCTCACTAGTTGTCTCGCTTTACCTCAAAAACGCTCTCTCAAAATGGAGATTCTCTACCAGGCGGTGGTGCTGGTTGTCTTATATGGCCGGATCACGGCGGCGATGTGGTGCGTCGTCAGAAGCGAAGCTTCAAGGGAGGCATTACAGGTGGCACTCGACTACGCCTGTGGTGCTGGAGCCGATTGCGCACCGATACAGCAAAATGGACTGTGTTTTCTTCCGAACACCATACAAGCTCACGCCTCCTACGCCTTCAACAGCTATTACATGCGCAGATCCATGGCCGCCGGATCTTGTGACTTCGCCGGCACCGCCACTATTGCTAAAACCGATCCAAGTTAGTTCAATTTCACGATTCTCTCCTCTATCAATCGCTAACAGAAAATCCAAACATCTTTTTTCCATTTTGTTTCTTAACTAATTCGTTGTTTAATTTCATGTTCTAAAGGTTATGGATCCTGCGTTTATCCAGCTTCTCCAAGGTAATACATCTCATTTCATGTTGGTATAATCAATATCGTCAGTAGGATTTATATTTATTTAATATATTGTTTGGTAATTATATATATTTAAGATACAGATTTTAAAAAAATGGGCCAAAATATTTAAAAATATTACAAACGTTGTTTTGGTGATAAATCAAACTTGCATGTCACGCTTATTTGTATTAATGACATTGTGATCTGGAGGATAAATGTACAAATATTTGTATATAAATATATACTTATATCAAATTCTAATTATATATTGATGTTAGATTCTAATAATATAAATATATTTATATCTATATTAAATTTTAATTTTAATAAGGTATATGTATACGTTGCTTTTGGATAAAAATAAATTTAAATAAATCCAAAAACTACAATCAAATTATGATTTCATATAATAAATAAAGCATAAGTATTGTTTTTCAAATCGTACGAATGTAAAGGCAAAATTAAACTTCTTGAAATGTTTTGATAGGTATTTATGGTCTTTTTATATAATATATTTGTAATTTACTTGCATGTATTTGTTAAACATAGCTAACTATGCATATTACACCATATCCAGAAAGACTACTTTGAGCCATTTATTTTTTAACACATCTAACTATTTTAAGCCATTTATTTTTTAACATAGCTAACTATTTTGAGCCATTTATTTTTTAACATGGCTAACTATTTTTCCATTTTGGAATAAACATTTCCAAATTCTATAAAATCTAATATTTTTTCTGATTTAATCATTTGAGATTTTGATTTATTTAAATCACTACATAATATTTTGAAATCTTTAAAATATCATTATTTAGGATTTATTTGGTTTAACTAATCACATAATTTTTTTTATGATTTAACCATGATAACTTATAATTTTAAAAATAACAACTTTAAAAAGAAATATTTATTCTTCATATGTTTTGTAACTCATTACCGAAAAACATTTATAATGTTTTTTGAAAAAACAACTTCAATGTTTAAATAAAAAAAGTTGCATTAGATTATGAAATTTGACATATTGAATTTGTAACTGAATAGTTTAATAGAAGTTTAATATGTAGAAAACTTTTTGCTCACCTAAAGTTAATCTTTATTTTTGAAGTATATTTAATTGATATATGATATAACGAATATTCGATTATTCATCAAATTAATGTACTTTTAGAATAAAAACAACTTGTGAACTAAATTTGTATAGACGCAAAAAGAACGATTATAGCTTACAAAATATTACATACGATTTTTTATTTCGAATGTAATGATCACTTTATTCTTATTTCTTTCACTTTCCAGAAAAAAAGGAGACGAAAATGATTAAAAATTAAAAGTGATGTGAGACATGATTGTGTTTGGCCCATATTTTCTTTAACTTGGTCCCACATTTATCTTTAACCGGTCAAACCGTGGAATGTTCATTTTCATATATTTTTCGTTTTATACTTTCGGCTAATTTGGATATTTCATGAATAAATATTTCTAACTTTGAATTCATTAACATGTTTGAGTTAATTTGTATATAAAACTTTTTTTTTCAAACATAACAATTTATGTTTTAATATGTTATATTGTACGGCTCTATAAAATATAAATGATTGTGGAAGATATAATTGCAAATTTGCAATACATCTACTTGAGGACCTTATAATATCCAATCAAAATTTACAAAAATATAGTTGTATTATTACCCATAGATTTAAAACTTTAGAAAGTATATATTTTCCGAGGGTAATTTGTGGGTAATATGTAAATTTTCTATGGATTTAAGCGTTTTATCCATAAATTTAATGTGAAAATATCATTTTAGTAAAACTTTATAAAGTAAGTTTTTTTTTTTTTTTGAAACGACAAACTAATCAACTCCTAATTATCACCACATATGTTTCAAACGAGACTTGAACTCATAAACTCTCAAATGAGATACTCATTTTTTATCGTTAGACCAAATGTCATTTTCTTTATAGAATAAGTAGATATCATTTATATTAATAAAAGATAAACACGTGATATCGAAATACAATGCAACAATATTATGTTTAGTTCGAAACAACGATTAAAAAAAAAGATGTTATAGTTAATTGGGATATGTGGAGATATATGATTTTGTAAGATATCAGGATAACATAATTTTATCAAAATAATTTTAATCTTATGATGACATGACATGTGCTGAGAATTAAATATAATTTCAATAATATAAATAACACATATCAGGGTAGATTTTTTGATATCACTAGTTTAATTATTCCAAAACGATTGATGTGGGTAAACAAGAAAGAAGAAAGTTAAAATGGAATTGTGCCATTATATGATGATAATGTGATAATCATATTAAAATGCTTGTTTACTATTGTTAATCTTGTATAAAAATTGTGTTTGTTAAAAATTATTTAATTAATGTGATAAAAACTCCGTATTCAAATGACTGAATATTTTTTCTCATACAAATCAGGATTTTAGTATGTATAACCAACGCAAACATAAGAATGCTAATCACAATAATTTTACCGGTCCAAATTCAATGCATACAAAAAAAAAAAAAAAAAAAAAAAAAAAAAAAAAAAAAAAAGTTTAAAATTTTATTTTTCATTTAACCACAAAAAAAAAATTAGTTTAACTCTATGACTTTGTTACTTTGTTTTCTAAAGCTATTGTGAGGTTTCCTGGTAATTAATTGTAAGAAAACTATCCGATGAATATTTTCGTGGTAAAGTTTAAGTTTTTTTTTTTTTTTTTTTTTTTTTTGGTTATACATTGAAAAAGTATTTTGGTGGTTAAACCGAACATATTTCAAACTATATTGATTTTTATATAATTCAAAGTTCTGTATTATGGTGATTTTTTATAAAAAAAATCTCAATGATTAAATTAAAAAATAGTCTTCTAACAGTTAAAGAAAAAAAAATTCAAGCTATAGTGGTTTATATGAAAATTTGGCAACTAATTAACATTCATTTTACTGTGTTTTGTATTGTCAGCACTGCGGGAGGAAGTATACCTACGCCTGGAGGAGGAGCCAGTACAACAAGCACTACTCCTATTTCAAATATTACACCCCCACCGCCATCCGCCACCCTACCACTCTTTGGGAGTGGTAGAGGGTTTAATCCTATTGGCACAGCACCTACATTGGTTGCCGGGTCAAATGCTAAATATTTAACAAAGACTTCTATTTCAAGAATACTGCTTCTAAACATAACATTCTTAGTGTTCAACCTATTGATGTTTTTATAGCATAATATGTCACATAAGTTAGACGATTTAGGACAATTTTGTTGTAATATATGCAAGTATATGTTTGCTACCGTTTTATTTATCTATTTGATCTTGACGAGTGGTTTGCTTTTGTTGAAAGTTCCTTAGTTCAATTAATTGGTTAATATTATAACTTTGATTAGTCCCGTTTGAAAAGAAGATATGTTGCAACATAAATATTACATTGTGGATCATTATTTTATACCATAAAAAACGCAAACATACGATTCTTTATCTTTATACAAAATAATATCAATTTGATGTTTTTGATACCAATCAACATCAATTTTTTCAAATAAAGAGAATTTTATCATTTAAAAAGGTAAATGTCATTTGTAGATGTTCTTATCAATCAATCTTACAACTAATATCACAATATTTATAGAACAAAAGATATCACGTCAAATCTTGAACAAAAGACTTCATGAATTCTCAACCGCCTTGATTAAAGCCATCAACATGGACTTAAATTTATCATCTAAATTTAGTCTATTTTGAATTTTTAAATAGGTATGACAAATATTTGTTTAAGGGTACAAATTATATATCATGGATGGAGTTATTGATAAAAACGACACATTTTTTTCTCACAAATTTGTTTTTATAACAAAGATTGTCCATCGAAACAATAATACTCTTTATTACTAATATTATCTGTGTAAATAAAATTATAAAAATCTTACTTATTTATTTATAACAAAATCTGTCCATCAAAAATAACCAACATCAATGTTCGAATGTCCATAAAAAATAACCAACATTGATCAATGTTAGAATAACAAAGAAAAGTCGAAACAAATGTTATACATTATTAATTTTGGCTAAATTAATATGAGGTATATACGTTAAAAATTGATGATTTAATTGGAGTATTAATTTTTAAAGTTTATAGTATAATAACAATCTTATGTCATTAAATTGTATCAATATAAATTAACCCAATATAAAAATGTGGTACATAATTAGAAATGAAGAAACTTTGGAAAAGAATATTTCTAAAAAATACTTTAAATATGGAGGGAAGTAAATGAAAAAATATGAAATAGTTGGGGTCATTTTGTAAAATTTAGTATGAAACTTCAAAATCAAGGGAAACTTTAAACTTACCTATCAACCACTTCCAATCCATAACTGATTTCTTTATGTTATTTTGCGAACCAAAAAAACCCGACCCGATTCATCTCGCATCTCCCCAATCTCCACACGCACGAACACCGAGCTCAGATAATCGCAGGGACAAAACGATCTTTTCGTCTGTTTTGATCAATCGGGGAGATCTGTTTGAAATCATTCACCCAAGCAGATCTGTTCGAGTTTTTGACGATTGATTTCTTTTCTTCAGAGCCCCAAAAACACAGAGAGAAACATGAATATATTCAGACTTGCAGGGGACATGACGCATTTGGCGAGTGTCCTTGTATTACTGCTCAAGATCCACACCATCAAATCATGCGCTGGTACCCTTCCTTGTTTAATGTTCAATGAGCAGTTACTGAACAGCTGATGATATTAGGTTTTTGCTTCATTTTTTTTCCTTCCTTAATTTGAAATTGTGGGTTTTCTGACTCGAAGGATTCATGAGGTGATCGATTTGTAGGCGATGTGGTTTTTTTAGATTACTCGTTGATGAAAATTGTGGTTTTACTGAAATTGTAGCATATAGATGAAATGGGAGAGGTTCAGCTTCTTCTATAACCTTCTGCTATTTGTTAACATCATTTTCGGTTCATTATGGATTATACACAGTGCGACTCCTTCTAAATTCACCTAATATCATATCCTTGCGATTTACAAGACAAAATAGACTCTGCAATGTCAAATGACCTAACAAAAAATCCGCATTTGCTTAGTTGTTTGTCAATCCTAGTACTTACTCAATGCAAAAACTCTACAGATTTTAGTATGAATGCACCACTACATTGAACATGTTAAGAACTTTCAGTTGTCATATAACGTTCGTAAATTCCTTTGATCATTTAACATTTTCGTCAAGTAAGATGAATTTCTCACTTCCATTGCATTGTTCATCTCGAATTCAGTTGATCATGTAACATTTCCATCAATGGAGAATGAATGAAAATTGTATAAACAAATACATACAACCATCTTTGATCTCTTAATTCTTTTACATACAGGGGTATCATTGAAGACTCAGGAACTCTATGCACTTGTCTTTGCTACTCGCTACTTGGATATAGTTACTGACTTTATCTCAGTATACAATACTGTGATGAAGTTAATCTTTCTAGGAAGCTCTTTCTCTATTGTGTGGTACATAAGGCACCACAGAGTTGTTCGTAGATCATATGATAAAGATCAAGACACCTTTCGCCATTATCTCCTCATGATTCCTTGTATGCTTTTGGCCCTATTTGTACACGAGAAGTTCACTTTTAAAGAGGTAAAAAAGAAACATTTTTCTATTCAAATATTAGATATTTCACTCAACTTTCAACTCATCATGCAAAAAGCCACCATTTTTTTTGATAGGTAATGTGGACATTTTCATTATATTTGGAAGCAGTTGCAATTCTTCCACAACTGGTATTGCTGCAAAGAACTAGAAACATTGATAACTTGACTGGACAATATGTTTTTCTTCTTGGGTAATAAATTTCTAATTTCTTTCATTTTCTTGATTGGAAGTACTTTTGTTTGTTTGTGTATTATAAGTTATAGCAACTCATTTTTATCTTTTTTCTATTACAGCTATGTACTTTCAATCTTTTTCTTAATAAAACATTATAATTGGTTATTGCTATGATTGAATAGATTTTTCAATGTAGAATTCTGTAATAAGAAGAAATGAAAGTAAGATGCTATAATGAACAAAAAGGTGAAAGAATGTAGCTATTTTATGTAAAGAAACTAAATATTATTGGCTTTTTGCAGAGCATACCGAGGTTTATACATTTTTAACTGGATCTATCGTTACTTCACTGAACCACATTTTGTCCATTGGATCAGTATGTCTCTCTCTCTCTCTCTCTCTCTCTCTCTCTCTCTCTCTCACACACACACACACACAAGTTATAGTATTATTTAGTTATAAGTATAGAATTCTTTATTACAAAAATGGATCACAGATTAATATTACAGTCTTTCATTTCATTCCATGATGGAATGGAATCAGAATGGAAGATCAGGAATAGTCCAACTCCATTCCATTCCGCCACACAAAATAAACAGCTTTTTTTGTTTTCCGATTCCATTCCTTTTTTCCAATTCCGTCATACCAAACATTACCTAATCCTGCTTTTAATGTTGCAGCATGGATAGCAGGGGTAGTCCAGACATTGTTATATGCTGATTTCTTCTATTACTACTTTGAAAGGTAAGTGCCACATCATCTATCTTTCAACAAAACATAACCAATTAACAATCACTACACGATCTTCTAAAAAACTAACTTTTAATTTTTTTTTGATGAATGTAGTTGGAAGAACAATGTAAGGCTCCAATTACCGGCTTGAAGTTGTCTTTTTTTGATGAATGTAGTTGGAAGAAGAATGTAGGACAATTTCATTCTTTTAGTTTTATTTTAAATGGTTATGTGGTTTTTTTAGCAATTTTCGAGAATGGGGATGTAAGACCACAAAAAGAGGACCTTATATGTATGAGTGATTATATAGTATTCCTTTTGGGTTGACTGGTCGTATCATATCTTCAATCTTCAATATATAATGCAAGTGTGCATTCTTTTTTATTGATATCACTTGTGGCTTGTAAGATCCTTTGATATTGTTTTGTAGGTAGCACACATGTGTTAACATTTCAAAATAATTCAGTTTTAAACCTTAAATGTTTGAGCCAACTTTTCGTTTTGACTTATAAATTTATGTTCTTGTTGATACTATTGTTGCTTATAGTGTTCTTGATAGAAGAAGATGGATGTTTAATTCATATAAGCTTAGCAGACAGATAGTTGTGCAGGTCTCGCGAACCTGCATAAACCATTCACAAGGGGTTTCATCATTCACGTTGGTGATGATTCCCTTTAAACTACTTCAATTTCGGTTAAAAAATGATATTATGTGATTATCAAACCAACATAAACTTGAAATGCTAAAACCACTTCTTAGTATTCAACTAACAATTATGATTATTGCACTAAAACAAAGGTTTATTGATTACTAACTTGTATCGTATTCATGTTTATTAACCGATGGTCCACAAGTGCAAACAAAAATGATGATCTTCACTCCTTTATTGCGGTGAAAGAGATGACGATTTGCCAAATCTTCTCCAAGAAAACCCTCTTTTGTAAAGTTTTTCTCTGTGTATACAAAATTTCAGTCAACAATTTGCAAAAAGGTGAAAAGTGATCTGGATATAGAGGGAGGATGAGGATGCAGCATTTTATCATCCCTAACGGACTTGGGGTTTTCTCCCAAACGACATTAATGAGCTTTCCAGCTAATCAATTGGTAACCGGTTGATTAAAGGGAAACCAGTCAAAAACAAACAATTTAATGCAAGTTTGAGGTAAAATCGGACATAAATTTGAACTTTGGGTAAATCCGACAATTTCGTGCAAACTTGAGGGTTTTTATGACATTAGCTCTACTAAAATTTGTAACTTCATTTTAATTTTCAAAGATTGCAGCTACATAACATGTTATTTTATATGATATTTAGATAAAAAAAACATAACATGATCATAAATACGAATCATATGTTTATAGTGAGTTTTTTTCATATTAAACGTTATTATATATTTATTCCATATTAAACTATCTTAAAATTAAATTAGAATTAGAACTTGTTAATAAAATTAACTTCATCTCGTTTATCTCATCATTTTGAGAACCATATTGAATTATTGGAAGATGGCTTGGGGAAGAAACAAAGACCAAAAAATGATCCGGGTCGTGTCGGGTGGGTATCAGTTTCATCATATAAACAAGAAAGGCCCGAATTGGTTCTTTGCCTAGCGACGGGTAAACGAATCGAACCCAATATTCCCAAACTCCAAATCCAAACCACCGTATATACGCCTCCCTAGATCGCCGTAAAATCATACCGGCAACTGCTATCGCCGCTGGTGTAACAATGGCAGGAGTATCACTCAAGTGCGGAGATTGCGGAACTCTACTGAAATCGGTTGAAGAAGCACAAGAACACGCAGAACTCACCAAGCATACCGATTTCTCTGAATCGACCGAAGCCGTTCTTAACCTAGTCTGCTCCACCTGTGGCAAACCCTGCCGCTCTAAAACCGTACGTATTTATGTAATTTAGTTTTTGTATGAGCTACTTGATTGCCATGTATCGCTGATCGATGAAGATATCTAATATCGATTTCTTATTTCTTTCTATCAGGAGAGTGATCTGCATACCAAGAGGACTGGACATACTGAATTTTCAGACAAGACTTCGGAGACGGCGAAGCCGATTACGTTGGAGGTTCCGAAGAATCAGAGTAGTGATGATGTTGATATGGTGGATGCTAGTACTACTGGCGAACCAGAGGGTACTAAACATTTGCTTCTTTGGTTCTTGATTGTTTTTTTGTTCTACTTGTCAATTCTTTCTGAAGATTTGGAGTTGATTCCACTCAAAGTTTTTGGAAATAAGAACCATTTGATTACAAAATTGTCTTAATCTTGATCTAAGTGACTAAGATGAACAAATATATGATTCTTTGGTCTTTCTTTGTTTCAGCATTCATGATTACCCCAACTAATGTCTAGTTTCCTTACATGTTTTTTTCTTAGAAATGGTTGTTCCTGATGTTGACTTAAAGCTACTAGAGGAGCTTGAATCAATGGGTTTCTCAAAGGAAAGATCAACCCGGGCACTTCATTTCTCTGGTGAGTGGGCTGAAGTCTTTGATTCAAGGTTTCTTTCCAGACTATTTCTATCCATGCTTCTGTACCATTTAACTAAGGTTACTATACTTACTGGAATTGGATTTTTGCTATATAGCAGCTGGCTAAACTGAAGTGGTTATTAGTTTAGTAGCTTTTACATATTGCTTTTATCTAACATATTTGTTTCTAGGTAACTCAAGTCTTGAGGCTGCTGCAAATTGGATTGTTGAACATGAAGAAGATTCAGACATAGATCAAATGCCTTTGGTACTCTTACTCTCTTTCTCTCATACTCACTTAACATTGCTTATTCCAAGAAATCAGTTTGTTAATATTTAACATGCATCTGTTTAAACTTCTTTTTCTTTTATAGTATCAATTGGGAAAATAATTTATCAAGCTCACTTTTTTACTAAGTTTTATGTTACTCTTTGCTAAGGTGTCTGCCAAGAGTAAATCAGAGCCTTCCAAGCCTTCTCTTACACCTGAAGAAAGAAAAGCAAAAGCACAAGAACTGAAGTATAATTTTTTTATTCTTCTTTCTTTATCCGTTTATTAAAAATTTTGAAAATGTTATTATTATTATTATTTTTTTCACTTCTTTAATTAACTCATATTTTGGTCTTTGTTTATATTTAAGGGAGAGAGCACGCAAAAAGAAAGAGGAGGAAGAAAAGAGAATGGAAAGAGAAAGAGAGAAGGTAATTATTTATTTTTCTTGAAAGATAAATAATCCCAAAACTTAATTTCAGTTTTGTAAAATTGTGTTAAATTATACATTTATACTCTTGGTTCTTAAAGTGGCCTTCATTTTGTGAAAGTTTTAACATAATTTCATCCAATATTCCAAGTAGAATGTGTAATTTGTTCTTCTCTTTTAAGTTTTAATAAAGTAGAAGGGTATTTACGTCATTTTGTATCATATACTTAATATAAAATTATCTTTAGGAGCGGATACGAATTGGGAAGGAACTACTTGAAGCAAAACGCATGGAGGAAGAAAATGAAAGAAAACGGTAACTTTATTCTTTTCTTTTTTTTTTTACTCCAAAATATTCAATTTTATATTCGTATCTCCTAAAGGAATTTTTTAATTGTATTGTGCAGTATTATAGCCTTGCGTAAAGCAGAAAAAGAAGAGGAAAGAAGAGCTAGAGAAAAAATCAGACAAAAGTTGGAAGAAGATAAGGTCTTAAATTCTTAATATAACAATAATAATAATTAATAATTAATTAATTATTACTATAAATCTGGTTTTTTCTGAAACTAATTTTGTATATATGATTTTTTCCAGGCTGAAAGGAGGAGGAAGCTTGGATTGCCTGCAGAAGACCCCACTGCACCTAAACCTTCTGCACCTGTAGTTGAGGAAAAGAAGGTATTTTTTTTTAATATATTATAAATTTTTACATTTAATAAAAATTAATATTTTTCCATCACAATTTGAATATTGTTTTGTTATTACAGAGTTCATTGCCAATCAGGCCTGCTACAAAATCTGAGCAAATGAGAGAGTGTTTAAGATCTCTTAAGCAAAGCAATAAGGTAAAGAAATAATGAAAATATATCAAATTGGGTTTTGAGGTTATATGCAAATTTTATATTTAATTTAACTGTTTGATGTATACTAGGATGACGAAGCAAAAGTGAAGACAGCATTCAACACCCTGTTGACTTACATCAAGAATGCTGCAACAAAGCCAGATGAAGAGAAATTCCGCAAGATCAGACTTAGCAATGCTGCCTTTCAGGTCTCACAACTTTTATAAAAAAATAAATAAATAAAAAGAATTTTTCACTTTAAAAAAAAAATTATAATAAACAAATTGGTATTTTTTTACGTTTAACAGGATAGAGTGGGGAAATTGGAAGGTGGGATTAAGTTTCTTGAGCTGTGTGGATTTGAAAAAATTGAAGGGGGGGAGTTCTTGTTTCTGGCTAGAGACAAAATCGACAGAGCAGTGCTGAATTCAGCTGGAACTGAATTGAACAGTGCCATAAATAATCCCTTTTTTGGGGTACTTTGAATTTTCATCTTATCTATCTATCTTATCTCATATTTTAAAATTACTAATTAACATCAATCTTGGATTGATTCGTGTTAAATCCCTCGTGAAAAACTACTTTGTTAAAAATAGTCATGATTGCAACTGTTTTTTTGGTTAATATGTGATGATGTCTGTCTAAGTAAAGTGTTGAATACATTAGCATGTCCCTTTTTTTAACCCAATAAATTGAGTGAATGAGATAATTTTAGAAACCAATGTTCATATTATTTATTAATTTAATAATGTTCATCAACTTTGATCAAAATAAGATGTGTGGAAAAAAAAATATACGGAGGGGAAATAGGTAAAGAGTTGGTGTCATGTTAAGCCATGTTTTTTTGGCTTAACCCTTTAATTTATTTTGCCTAGATTAAACCAAAAACAAAACTACTATATATTGTTGTCAAGGTCAAGTGTTTAAGCTATAAAGTTTGTTGTGTGGCTCGAGAAAAGGGAGGGACTATTTTTGTGTCACGTCATCTTTTTAGAACAACTTATATATGCACCAACTATTTTGCTCAAAAAGCTACACATTTCGTCTCATTATATTGATGTTTAATCATATTTCACTAAATATCTTACATATGGATGAACCTTTTGCCAATTATATTGATGTTTAATCATATTTCACTAAATATCTTACATATGGATGAACCTTTTGCCAATATGCAAATGGAGAACTGAATTATACTAAGGATACGTTTAGTTACGGAAAAACAGTTTTCATTTTCTATTTTTCGTTTTCCCTTTTCAGTTTTCATTTTCCGTTTTCATTTTTCATTGAAAAATTTAGA